GTGTGTGGGGTGTGTGTGTGTGTAAAAGTTTGTGTACGTGGGACACAACCAACAGTGAAAGGCAGTGTGCAGAGGGAAGAAGCTGTGGATGGACCTCGACGACAAGGGGTTAACACCTGGAATCTATAAAGAATTCCTCCCAATGAGAACTTTTTTTAAAAAATATTTATTTATTTATTATGTATACAATATTCTGTCTGTGTGTATGTCTGCAGGCCAGAAGAGGACACCAGACCTCATTACAGATGGTTGTGAGCCACCATATGGTTGCTAGGAATTGAACTCAGGACCTTTGGAAGAGCAGGCAATGCTCTTACCCTCTGAGCCATCACTCCAGCCCCCTCCCAGTGAGAACTTAAACAACTTAATTAGAAGATGGCAAAGGGCTGTTTGCTAACAATCATCCACAAATAGGCAACATGTATATGAAAAGGTCATTAGTCATGGTGGAGACATAAATAAAAGCCTTTCTGAGACACCAACACAGGCATTAGGATAGCTGCTATCAACAAGGACTGCCAGAACATAAACTTTGATAGGGATGTGGAGACATGGGACCCTTGAGCAGTGTGTGGCGGGGCCTCAAGAAAAAATGAGTAGATAAGCAAAAAAATGTACATGTATACACCACACACACACACACACACACACACACACACAATAGACAATCGTTCAGCTTGGAGAAGGAAGCGAACCACACCACACTCTCCAGCTGGAGAAACCTTGAAGACATTTTGCCAAGTGAAAATGTAGCGTTCACGAGAGTCTGCAAGTTCAGTTAGAGGAATGGTCAAAATCAGAGGGAGAAAGTAGAAAGATTGCTCCTAGGAGCTGGGGAGAGGGGCTGGGGAGTGGCTAAGCAGGTAGAGTTTCTGTCTGGCAAGATCAGTGGAGTAACAGTGTGGGTACACTCAGCACCACCAACAGAACTGTCAATGGAGAAATGAGCCCGCGAGAAACTGTCTGCAAAGAGACACCAAGGACGCAGAGAAATCAAAAGACAAGGGAGCCGGGGACGTGCTGGCTGAAGGAAGGGATGCTGGAGAGGATATGTGAGTGGCCAGGCCAGACAGGAGCTGGATCCTGCTGTGTGATCTTGTATGGCCGTGTGCTGTGAAATCTGATGGGTTGGTACCCCAGCAAGCTTTAAAGTGGGGGCTGATCTTCCTCTGTGGCTGCCAGGAAGTACTCATCACCAGGACCTTCCTAATTAAAGCCACATCCTGTCCCAACCTAGGCACATCCCCCATCCTGGAGAGGGCCCCAGGGGCAGCCTGGCTGGTTCCCCTTCTGGGCCACCATGCATCGAGAGCATGGAAATCTCTGGGAAGCTTAAGAGGCAGGTTCCCAGGCCAAGTACAGCTCAGGTCCCAAGAGATGTCCCATAGTTGAGGGACATGGCTCTCACACACAAGCATGCATGACACCAGAACACAGAACTCCCTTGGGGTTGTTCCAGGCCTGGGGACCAGAGTTCTCAGATTTCCAGATTCAGGGAACAGATTGCACTTTCAGACATGATGTCTCTTTCTCCCAGAGCCAAGTCAGGGAGCCCCAGGACAGTGCAGTCTCAGGGGAAGGGGTTTAGAGTAGAGATGGCAGCAGCCATAGCTTCCAGAGAACTCCTAAAGAATTCCAGAACTGCTGTAAGAAACTGTCCCAGGCTGTCACCTAAAGAGATCCATGTGCTCCGGTGGAGGGGCTAGAACCAGATCTCCAGAGTCCCAGTACCCAAGTCTCAGGGCATGCCTCCTTGTGCCAGGCCTTTCCTTAGGTTCCCACCCTCCACAGCTCTTTATTTTGGGTGTCACCGAAGCTGAGGTATGGGAGAAGGCTGGTTGCATTCCAGGTTCCCAACACCACCCCATGCCTGGAAGCTGTCAGCACAGGATCTCAAGGAGGTCAAGTTACAATTCTCACTTCTCCAGTGTTCTTCAGTGTGGCTCCCACTGACCCACCTCATGTCTTCCTCTGCCCCCTTTCCCTTGCCCAGCTTGGGAGCCCACCAGAACCTGTCATCCTAGCTCAAACTCACTCAGTGTTAGCCCTCGCTGTCCCTGTCCCTTCTCCTAGTCTCTGCTCATCCGGAGATATGCATTCTTCAGCACAGAGCTTTCCTCAAGACCCAGAGGACAGGATCACCACCCCTACTTTCTACATACAAGCTCCAGGCCTATTTCAAAAGCGGAAGAGCCCCTACTTACCTTGGGTTCCTAATACTATGCCCACCTACTCTCACAAGTTTGTTGAGTGAGAAGATGAATGCGTTTCTCTATCTGTCTCTGTTGTTTATTCTGGTACCTTCCCCAAAGCTTTGATGATAATGGGCTAACTAGCAGATGTTTACCTGTGTTGGCTCATGCCAACCGTGCACAGGTGTTCACACTTCCATGTCACAGATAAGGCAGCTGGGTACGTGGAGAGATGGCCCATGGCCTCCCAGATGTAGCAAGTAGTACAAAATGCAGGGGGATCCATCCAACCTAACTGGTTGCAGAGCCAAGGCTCACTATGCTGCACCACATGTATACCCCGCAATACACCACAGCAGCTGCAGTGTGAGGACCCGAAGAGGCACCTACGGACTTCCTGGGATTTCCCACTTCTCCGAGATCACTTAGGCCTACGCTGTGGAAGATGGCTGTGTTGGTGCGGTGTTTTGAATGGGATGTCTGTCCACCATAAGCCTCGGGCATTTGAATACTTGATCCTCAGCTGGTGGGAATATTAGGAAGGACTAGGAGGTGTGAGCTAAGTGGAGGAAGTATGTCACTAGGGGTGGGCTCCAAAGTTTCTAGTTAGTGAGGTCTGCCTCCTGCCCGTGGATCTAGATGTGAGCTCTCAGCTGCTGCTCTACTCGCCGGCCACTATTCCTTTGTTCTGCCATTATAGATTCTCATATCCCAGAACCATAGGCCAGTTAAATCCACTGGTCACGGCATTTCACCATAGCAACCGAAAAGTAACTAATACAGAAGTGAAGGATGAATTCCTGACCTGAAAGGGAGGGAGGCCAGAGCCAGGGGTCATTCAAAGGAGGTTTGAGACCTGACAACCAATTTTCTGGCCTCAGGATGGACAAGAGGTCAATTAAAAAAAAAAAAAGTCGCCGGGCAGTGGTGGCGCACGCCTTTAATCCCAGCACTCGGGAGGCAGAGGCAGGCGAATCTCTGTGAGTTCGAGGCCAGCCTGGTCTACAAGAGCTAGTTCCAGGACAGGAACCAAAAGCTACGGAGAAACCCTGTCTCGAAAAATCAAAAAAAAAAAAAAAAGTCCTCTATCAGCCACCAAGCCTTTACTCAGTTCAGAGGTCTGGAAAGAACATGCCCTTCCCAGACCTTCTCATCCTGCTCAGCTTGGTAACAGCCCAGGGACAGTCCCAGGCTGGAAGAGCCCTTTGGATGCTTCCGGGAGCATGAGGTAAGTCAGACGCACTGTGCATACCACCTTCCTCCCAAAACCCCCAAGAAACTTTCTAATCTCTATTGTACATTCAAATCAAGGAACAACAGACGTTATTAGGTAAGAATTCAAGATCAGTCAGCTATGTGCATACAAACCAAGCTATTAAGCACTACCAAGCTATTAAGCACTATGCAACATTGCTCCCCATTCTTTCCTGAAAAATCCCCTGAGAGGGAAAGTCCCCTCTCACCCCATCCCAGCATCAAGGGCCCAGGAATGAATAATTATGTCTTGTGACTCGTGGTGAAGGAGCTAACTCATGTATGATGTGAGTAGCATCACAAAAATGTCCTTGCCCTTTGCCCCAAGTATTCATTAGTGTTCATTCTGGGTGGAGAATACACTCTGGGGAAAAGGAAAAAGAACAGTGATGATAAAAAGGCCAGAATATTTCCACAGTCCTCCATGGAAGTTAGGTTCCAAAACCATCGAGAAACAATTGAGCTTCATGGGGAGCAAAGACACTGTGAGTTAGGTTTGTTAATGTGACAAATACCCCCTAGATCCTTAAAATGATGGTTATGCCAGGCATAGAGGCAGATGCACACAAAGTCTGAAGCTAGCCTGATCTACAGAGTGAGTTCTAGGGCAGCCAGGGTTACACCATGAGACCCTATCTAAAGTTTTAAAAAGGGCAAAATGTAAAAATAGAACTTTATTGTCATTTCAGAAACACTGGCTCCCCTTTGCCGCTCTTCCGTGTGTGTCGCAATGTCCAGGGCAGAGAACCACTCTGTGTGTCATTTCTTAGTCACTGCCCACCTCTTTTTGAGACAGGGTCTCCCACTAACCCGGAACTAACAAAGCAGGTTAGACTGCCCAGCCAGTAAGCCCCAAGGATCCACCTGTCCCCACCTCCCCAGCATGGGATTGCGAACATGCCACCATGCCCAGTGTTTCTTCACACAGGTTCTAGGGAAGGTACCCAGGTCTTCAGTGCCTTGCAAGCGTTTTACGGACTGAGTTCTTTCTTAAGCCCCGTGTTTCCCTTTCTTTTAAAGATTTTTTTTTTTAAATTTTATTTTATTTGGAGGCTGGCCTTGAACTTGTTAAGTAGCCAACGATGACTACTTCTTCTACCCCCACCTCCCACGTGCTGGAATTACAGGTGTGTGCCACCGTGCCAGCTAGCCTCAATTAACTTTTGACTAGGAGGTTCATACAAGCAATAATTCATGCACATAGCACACTAAGATGTACAGACCTAAGGCAATCTGCCATTCTCTGGAAGCCAAAATCAATTCAGAATGTGGGTTTGCTCACTGACAAAACTCACACGGCCACACGGGGAAGTTAATTTGAGTTATATGGCTCTGTTTTTCTCCAGCAAGGCTGCTGAAGCACAGGTTAAAGACTAAAAGCCTGCAGCAGACAGTCTATAGCATTTCTGGGCTTCTGTCAGCACCCTCCTGTCAACTCCAGCTCAAGTCTCTCTGACTTGAAGCAGAGTGAAACAGCAGTTAAATTAGTGAGGGAGAAGCATCCATCACAGCAGCCATGTGAAACCAAGTCCCGAGGGCTGTTTCCCTGCTCACCTGTCAGAACGTGGGCTTCTCCAGACTGCTGGAAGCTTCAAGCTGCTCAAGGCCTGAAGCAGGTGCCTTGGGACTGTGGCAGTAAATGTCCTGTGGGAGAGGCCGTGACGGCCCCTCAGCCTACAATCCAGTCTTCCCGTCAGAGGGTGGGGAACACAAGCTACAGCAGCTCAGACTTGATTCTAGAACGGGAGCCAGCAAGGGCTGGGTGGGGCGGGGCCATGTGGCCCCAGCCTGTCTTGGATTGTGGAGTAGGAGAGAGCCTCAAACACAGCCAAGGCAAGGGGACAGACAGCCCTGAGGGTGAGCATGGGGGTGTCTTTAGAATCCAACCCTCGTTTCTCTGTATATTGGACTGGTTTTTAGGGACAATTCCAGGCCCTCTCCAGAGTACTCGAATCAGATAAGATTCTCTACATTCTAACACTGAACCATAGCTGACGGTGGCTAGGGAAGTTTGTTGGGGTCTCAATTGCTGAGCACCCAGTCGACCCCGTCTACAGACAGGGAACTGAGCTCAGGGTGGTGTATCTACCCAAGATTCCACAGCTGGTTACCGAGGTCTAATCACAAAGCCCAAGACAGCCCTCATGGAAACCTCCGGAGTCTCAGCCACACCTGTAGACCCAGTTACTTTTGCTTACCTGGTAGTGGTGACTAGGCTGAGTGGCTGGCTCTAGGCGGCAGGGACAGCACCACTTTCTTTGCTAAGTTTTTAGAGTCCACTTTTTCTTTTTTAAAGTAAGGTCTCAGTGTAGCCCAGGTTAGTTTCAAACTTGCTATGTAGTTCAAGCTGGTCTAGAGCTTTGCTTTGGAGTGCTGTGATTCTAGGTGTGCGCTACCGCACTGCCCTAATTTTATGACTGTATTTGGAATAGTTAGGGGTAGCTACCCCTGTTCCCCAAAGGATCCTTCAGCCCCTCCAGCACCAGACATCACAATGGTGGCCGTGGTGGTGGAGTGTTGAAGGCATCATGTTATCAAACAAGGGAGGGAGCTGTGCTTTCCTCTGTCAGGGCCCACTCAATTAACATCTGACTCGAAGCTTAGGCTGGGAATCCTGGTCTGGACACAAGGGCTTGCCCTATTCTAAATGCTAATGAGTGTTGTTCAAGAAATGCTTTCTTAATTAGATTGAGAAAACTGGATTCCCTGAACTTGCAGCAAGACAATATGCCCACACTGGAATTCACCCAGCATTCCCCACCCCCTCGCAGCAGCCACTGTGAACCACACTGCGCAGGTCCTGCACAGCTCTGCCAAGGCGTTGTCAGGCAGAAGAGGTAGAGATGAGGACACAGCCACAAGACAGCACTGCTGTGCTCTTGGGTCTCTTGACCTGGTGTGGTGTCCCATTTCTAGGTAGCAGGTCTAACAGAGCCAGGACCACCCTCAGGACAGTCGGCGCCCCTGTTAACAGCCACATTCAAGTTAGTGGATTCCACTGTTCCAATGCTTTTCCAAGGATTTCTTTGCCACATGGCCTCTCGCAGACGTTTTTCAAGGCTTCGTGGGTAAAGTTATCTTCTCTAGTTACAGCACCAGCTACTTAAGGGCAAGAGTCCTGTGTGTCTGACAGCATCAGTCCAAGGCCTAGAGCAAATCTAGTACTTGTCTTTATCCTCATGTCCTGATTACATATTACTATGGACTTTCAAAAGGAGCCTATGAAAATCTTCCCAAACCTTACCAAAAGCAACTCGTGGGCTGGCAAGACAGTTCAGCCAGTAAAGGCATCTGCTGCCAAGTCTTGACAATGTAAGTTTGACCTGAAGGTTCCACATGGACAAATTACTTCTACCAGTTGTTCCCTGAATGCACACACCTACACATACCATGCATATGCCAGTATGTGCCATAAAACAGTAAAACGTAAAAACAAAACCAGACCTCTTATTTCATTATTTTTGCTCACAGAAGGGGTCTGTGTGTGGTTTGCCAATGAGATCCAGACAGGGGCCAGAAAGAGGCAGGCTAGCTCTGGATTCTGACTGTCCGGGTGGAGCTGAAGACAGCCCTTCAGCAACCTCAAAGTGAACCTCTTTCCTGAAACTGTAACTTCCAACTAGTACTTGCTGTTTTGCTTTGAACAAGTGCCAGTCACAGCTAGTGAGGTCTAGGTCACTTGCACCGGACTTAAACACTCAAAAGCGAGGTTCTTGAGTGGATACCAGCAGTCTATGTAGACAAGTCCTGGGTCTGAATGACAGGTTTCTTACTGGCTGCCTACCCTGCCTCAATTTTTAGATGCAGGATTTTCTGATTTTTCCTAAAACTTCCCAAGCTGTGCTCTTTTGACCTGAGGAAATTAGACTTGGCCCTTAAGTTCTGAGACTCAACATCCCACGCTTCCTCACTCTGCTCCATCCTCAGTGGGAGGCTGTCAGGTCACCGACACTCTCTTCCAACCTGGTGGTAGAACAGACCCAGGATAGAACTGGTGCTCATGACCCTCAGTGGCCAACATTTCCAATGCTGGCTTTTCAAGCTTTGCAAGCAACAGCTCTTGCTTATGCTGGTTCAAACTGACAACCAGCTAATACTGTTGCTTTAGTTCACTAGAACTCAGTTCCCCAGAAAATCAAGAGCGAAGCTTAAGTGCTCAGTCTCTGCCATGTGCCCATACTAGCTATCTGCTCTCCAACCAGTATTTTGTGGACAAGCTTTCAAGAGATTAATTTAAAGCATGAATAAACTTAAAACATACACATGTACAGTATTTCATATGTAAATGAACAAGTGGATGACTCATACAAACATGGCATTTCTACTTGGAATAGAAAAACAGAACTAAGGAATTAACAGATCCTGAAAGCTGGGTAGATGAAAAAATACCTCAGCATTTCCGGCTCTCAAAAAAGGCTGAGAGCACCCGGCATCCTGGACGCCTGCCCTCTCCCTGTGAGGCAGCAAGCCTGGAGTACATTCCCAGCCCTAGCAGCTGTCCTGCAAGCAATGCATCTGCACAAACCAAAAACAGCAACATTCCAGGAACAGTCCAACTTGAACCCCTTCCCCACAAGAATGCTATTCTTGGCAAGACATCTTCCAAAGGAAGCAACATCTGCAAATCCCCTGCCCTGAGGTCAGGGAAAAGCTGAGGCAGCTGAGCAGCACTGCGTCCGCTCTCAGACCCCAGTAGCAGGGGATTTAGAGGGTAAGAGCAAACCTACATGACCCCCCCTTTTCTCAATTCCCCATTTACCTGCTTGCTCAATCCACTGAGCTGGCCATGGTGGTATCCTTAAATAATTCAGCCTCACCCATTTGCTACACACTTATTAAAGTTTGTTTTAAACAGGGGAACTTTATTTTTTGAGACAGGGTTTCTTTGTGTATCCCTTGGCTGTCCTTGAACTCGGCAATTCGTCTGCCTCTACCTCTCAAGTACTGGATTTTAAGGTGTGCGTCACCAGGGCCCAGCAGAACTGAGATTTCTAATGCCAGACCCAGTAGGTATCAGAAACCCACTCTACACTACAAAGCTGGGAACCAGTCCACATCCGCAGCTCCAGCACTAGAAGGGCAGAAGCAGGCCAGCCTGACTTGCTTACTGCGTTGAGGAAGCCAGCACTAGCACTCAAAAATTATGTGTAACCACTCCCAGTCACGATTCTTACCAGATAATAAGTAGAGAGTTTAGTCAATTTAGGTGGTCAAGTGGAGAAATTCAACTTTTATTTTATTATACACCGAGACCAGCAGTGAGTTTGGGTATCTCCAGGTTCAATGTGCAGAGGCAGAGGGATCTCTGTGAGCTCGAGGCTAGCTCTGGTCTATAAGAGCTAGTTCCAGGACAGGAACCAAAGCTACACAGAAAAACCATGTCTCGAAAAAAAACCAAACATCAAAACAAAACAAACAAAAAGATTAGGGCTTTCCATAAAATTGGCCAGTTAGAGGAATTTCCAATTATGGCTTGAAGAGTTCTGAAAGTAAGTCACTTGGGGCCAAAAGGACGGCAGTAGGTAGTCCTTCCTAATGACACACTCCTCAAGGCCAATCTGCAATCTGGCCAAGATATGTGCTGCAGATACATCCTCCCCCAGGTCATCTATGCGTCTCTATGTAGGGCCCATATGATTGTCTCCAGGGGTAGGTTAGTATGTGAGTTCATCTGTGCTCAGTGACTCCTAATCACCAGACTCAAAATTTCGGGAGCCACTTAAGCAAGCACCGTGAAATCAGACTCCTCATCTGGGAATCATGCATGCCAAATTTAAGACTTCAGAGTAGCAAAGATCTGAAGGGAAGGGACAGCACCCCTTCCTTTACAATATCCAAGAGTAAGAGGGGCTATGCTCACATGGTTGGTGAGCACACGTTTTACCTCTATAGCAAAGAACAAAAACAGGCTTAAGAAACCACTAGAACCAAGATGTGTACATAGGCACCTAGAAGTAACATTTAGTTATTGTTCCAACTTAGGATCAAACTTTTCTCTTGAATTCCCCAGAAAAAGACACACTGATGCTGGCCACCTTAAAAATTAGTTTTATATATCTGGGAGGGTTCAGAGGGCAGAACTAAGCCACATTGCAACCAGCATGGCTTGCACCCTAGCTTGCCTCCCTCCATCTCACAAAGCAACATTGTATAAAACTGTATTTACAGGAAAACAATGAAAATTAAGAGTGTGTACAAAAGTAGACAAGAGCCAGAATTTAGGGATGGCTTTGGGAATAAGGAATACCGTGTTCCACCCTGAAGCACATTATGTGGAGGAGCGGACCTCAGTGCCAACTGTAAGGAGAAGCAGTTGTTGCAAAGGAGGAGCTGAGGGTGCAGAGCTATTGGCTCTAACATGACAGTCTTAGTTATCACACCACTTTTCTCCTGCCATGCGGCAGAAGCCAGACAGCAGTGATGGGAACAAAGAGGGGCGATCTGACGAGCCCCCAGATGAAGATGGGCTCAGAAAGCATAACGGGTCCGAATATCCTCAAGCTTCTTGGACACTTCAGGTGGGGTTCGGTCCAGCTCTTCAGAGACATTCTTCTGCTTGTTGGGCTCCATGGAGTTGAACTGCTCACAAAGATCTCCATCAATCACATTCTAAGACATGGAAGAGTCAGAGAAGGAAAAAATTAAGATATCCAAAGAAAAAGGTACATACTATGAAAATACTCATGCTCACACCCGAGTAGCCATGGTTCAGACTGGCA